TGTCTTACGTTGGCTGTTCTACTCCTAATTGCACCGACTGAACAAATTAAAGTTGTTTTTACATGTTTGACCAAGCTTGTGAAGCTGTTGGTGTATTTCAGTCAACTGAATTTGTAATCCAGGGCATGTATGTCTGTGTTTGAAGAAGAAAGTTTCAAATAAATTCTGCTGTTTTTCTGTATCAGATCAGCATCGGCCGATACTAAACCTCAGATATCGATATCTGATACCGATATCTCCAAAATTAGGGACCGGTCCCTCCCTAATTTTGGTATCATCTGGTCACAAGCAAACGGTTCAAATCAAGTCACTAATGGAGTTTAGCCACGTTTACGTGAATATGTAGAAACAGAAAACTAAATTTACTGCCAGTTTGTATTTAAATCTAAAACCAGATGTTCATTCACACTCTGAAGAGTCACACTGTTTAGCATTAAGCCACTGAAGTTTTTCTGTTTTATGTCAACATTGCAGACATTATTTTGATTTGCTAACTGGCAGAATAATGAGATTTATTAGACATTTTTATTCATTTCCTTACTATTTGGAAACCGTACTATTTAGCTTCCTGTTACTTGAGGCAGTCAAAGCATGCTTCTCTCTCTGAAGTTAAGTTGGACCAAACTTCTCTTTTTTCAGTTGTTTGAATTTCTATTCGCTAAAAATTGCAACTATAATGCATCAGATTTATTTATTAATGCCTTCAGAATCAGAACGTGCCTTTTAAACTTTGTGACTTTGGTCAAATGCTTTGTATTTCTTTCCTCAAGTTTCTGCCAACAGATGACTGGAGTTCTGGTCCATTCTCCCTGACGGAACCAGTGGAACCGGGTCAGGTTGGTAGGCCGCCTTCCTCACACACACACACACATCTACAGATCTGCCCACAAAATCTCTCAAGCCGAGACCAGGAGTTTGCGATGGTCACACCAAAACACTGACTGGGTCCTTAAGCCACTTGGTAGCTACTGCATGCTCCGGGTCACTGTCTTCCTGTCTGATGTCTGTAGATGCTGCTTCAATATTTCCACATAAAGTTCCTTCCTTGTGATGTCATCTGTTTCATGAAGTGCACCAGTTCCTCCTGCAGCAATACGGCCCCACAACATGATGCTGCCTGCCACCCCCGTATTTCAGCCAGGATGGTGTTTTTGAACTTGCGTGCTGCTTCATTTTTTTCCCCCAAATGTAATCACGGTCATGTCAGCTAAATACTTAGAAATTGTCCTGGACAAACAGGATTTGTCTTCAAAAGTTGAGCTCTTTAGCCATGTGTGTATGCTCAGACTATAATCTGGCTTTTCATTGTTATTGGTTCATTGGTTCTCGAATAATTGATAGCAGATGAACGTTTTGAAAGTCTAGAAAAAGATGAGCCTTGACTTGTGGAGGTCAGCAGTTCTCTTGCTGATATTTCTTTAGATTTCACCATGATTTCACAAAAGGAAGCAGTGTGTCTAAGGTGTTCCTCCTTCAAACTTAAATTTTGTGTCAACCTATCCGGGGGGAAAAAGACCCGTCAGAAGCTTCCAAAGTTTTGACATCATCATCTGGGCTTTCCCAAATTGTCTATAGGCAGAGAGACATGACAGGACGCAACCTTCTGAATATGAAGAAAGTAAAAATGAAAAAAAGCGAAAGTAATCTCTCATGTCATTTATCAATAGAAATAATTTACACTGATACCAGGGTTGATATTGTACTGATTTAATCTGGCAGATAATCTGTTGCATTGGCACATCTGCCTGACTAAAATGATCTCTTGTTTTTCCAGTTTTAAAGAGAAATAGTGAAAATGTTGCCTTATTTTCATATCATACAGGTAACAGAAAACCATTGATTTAAAATAAAACTTGCTAGACTGAATAATTTGAAAAAGAAAAGTACAAACTAATAGTTATATTTTTCCAGTAATTGTGGGAATCGATTGGTTTTGCACAAAGCATCTGTTTATTAACAGAGGATTATTTCTCTGCACATTAAAGGAAAAACGTTTCAGCTGTTTTGTGTCCAATTAGAACAAAATAACTTGAAAACTTCTCAGTTTGCGGAAGAGAATCTAAAGCAGCCCTGACTTCCAGTGTTGGTGTCGTCTTATTCGAGTTTCAGTTTCGTCAGCTTTGGTCACCCTTTTTTTTTTTTTTTTTACTTAGTTTTCCCAACAGCATCAGCGTTGATAAGCCAAGATAAACAAGAAACCACAGCCCTGCGTTGGGTAACTGGAAGTTGTCTGCACCAGACGGCGGTGTCGTCACCGCTGGAGACTTTGCCCAGCTTTGATTTCGAAAAATGTTCAAAGGTTTGAGGTTTTACTCTCCAAGTTTCTCTTTTCTCACTAAATCTCTCTTCTGATCCAGGAAGGTCTTTTCATGTTCATTTCCTCAATTCGCCTTGAAGAAAAACAAAAAACACTGTTGGGTCTAAATCTGTGTTAAGCTTTACTTACTATATTCACCAACATGGATCTTTATTGTATGAGATGCTGATGAATCACAGACTAACGCATCAAATTAATCCTACGAGACAATCCTCTTCTTTATAATGGAAAGTGTTTGCTTGAATAACGGAGAAGAATACAGTCGATAGTTATGATCACAAAATGTCACCAGCTTGAAATTTCTGTTTGCTTTTTTTTCTTTCTTGATTATGTTTATATTTGGGCAAAATATAAACAGCAATTTTGTTTACAGAGATTTCATAATCCATTTCATTGATGGTTTTGGTTGTGTGTGTGTTTTATTTCCCTTTTTTGTTAATGTGTCTTTTGGAATATTTAAAATATTGTCCATTTCCACTGTTAAGCGTTCTGTACAAAATTATGCTTCATTTGTCTCCAAACAAACAATGTTGTCGTTTATTGCGATAATTTCGAGAACGATTTGTCGTCCAGCTGAATTTATCGTGACAGGTCTAGTGTCAGCTTGTCCTTCACAAACTCCAGGGAGTGAATCACTGAATTAATATTTGGCTGCTTAATAAATGTGTTTCTGTTTAATCTGCTCAATATGTGTTTTTCACAGAATGGAAAGTCAGAGCTGGATCTGCTCAGATCGCCTGTCAGTGTGTGAATATATAAAGTGCTTTACAGCTGCATTACTTTTACCAAGTAGATTCTATCAAGAGGATTTGGTTGGTGATGATGATGATGAATTTGATGAGAAGTAGTTAGTGTTAATCCTCTTATTGCTTTTTCTGCAACTGTTTTGATTAAAGGTAAATAAGTGTTAAAATCTGAAATATTTATTGTTAAGATGTCCCATGGGTTCATCTGTCCAAAAACATGCCTGCTGGTTTTCCTGCTCTCTCTACATTTCCCTTCAGTTTCTGTGTGTTTGTGCATGTGTGTGTGTGAGACTCAGCGACATATAGATGAATATATTTTTATGCATAATAATTTGACGGTTCCAGGAGTTAGAGCACAAAACATAAATCACAACGAACAATGAAGATGTTGAGCAATGAGAGGCTTAAAAACACAACTACCATGTGGGGAACGTTTTACAAAGCCAGGCGTTAAGGTGTGTGCTTTTCACTTACCTCACAAAGAACAGTTTGTTTTTTTTTGTGGGGGGTTTTTGAGAGGAAAACCTGAAACCAGACCAAACATGAATCTCTGACTTCTTTTGTGTTCAGGACTCCTTACCTGCACGATGTTCTGGAACAGTTGATTGAAAAGATGAGATCAGAAAATCTCAATCTCAAAACACAATGAATGTTGTTGATGGAAGGGACAGACTGACAGAGGCATTTTCATTCAACTCTTGGTTAGAGGAGGCCTTGAGAAAGGTTGCATCCATTTACCGCCACAGCTTCAAAATCACTTTGTGACGTTGCCCTCATGTTATTGCTCACACATTTAGCATGGCCTTTTAAGCCCTGAATCATTCATACCCCTGACAGATTTGTTGAAAGTTATCTTTTAATTTTGCCATGTTCTTTCTTCCAAATGGAGTCCGGCCTTGAATCCGGACTCTGTGGATCTGTGAGCGTCCGACTTCAAAGACCAGGAGCTCAGGGTCAAAGAGAATCATTAAAATACAGGTGGAAACATCAAATAAGCTGGTTAGTCATTTATGAGGGATTGGTTGATGTTTTACCCTTTTAAAAAGTAAATATACGGGAGTTTTTTATGCTCCTTTTACATCATTTTACTATTTTTGGAAAGTACTATTAATGTCACTTCACAGGCAGGTGAATTTGCAACTATTGCACTACAGGAGGCGCTGTTTCTATCATATTCTATAATATCATTGAAAAGCTCATTTATTTCAGTAACTGGGTTCCCTATAATGTACTTATATATCATCCAGCTGTCATGTACAGACACTTAAGAGCCCATAAATTAAAAACAAGCTGACTTTTTATTTTTTTAAGTCTTCATTTCTGTTCAAATGATTTTCAGCTAATGGAGGCGATTAGAAACACCAACAGAGAAAACATTTGAAGACTTTTTTATTCAAAAATGCACTTCCAGGTTCAGGTATCAAAAAATGAGACCCATTGCGACTTTTTTCACTCAATTGTTTGTGACCACTGAAAAGAAAAACTGTAGTTTCCAATATTTTGTATTTTGATCCAAATCTCTTCTTGTCTTTTCTTGTGAGTTCTGATGGTGAAACCTGCGACCAAAAGCTGCTCCTTGAACTTGAACCATTATCTGAACCTGCGAGGCGCAAACAGGAACCAGAACAACTTTGAACTTTAGATAAAACAGTTTTACAAGCGATTCTGTCCGCGCGCCTCGCGGCTCGCGCATACTTCAGCTTTCGTTAATTGTTTTCCCAGCTAATCTGACAGTTCATAAGTGTTTACGAGCTTCTCTTTGGATTGTTTGCTCTTATTAGCCCCAGACCGAAACAGCCGAGGGAGCCGCATACCGCAAGTAATGAGCATTAAGCCCCTTTCAGCTGCCGGGGACAGAGGGGGGACCAACGCAGGGGTTCACTCGGAGGACCAGAGCTCGCTTTAAATTAAAAGGCGCTCCTGGTTTTCTCTGTTTTCGTTCAAACACCGACCGTTATTCACCGGGTGGGTAACGGTGGTTGCCTGACAAAAAAACACCTTCAGGCGCCCCAAGTTCACCCAGGTGAGCGCGCGCGACTAAGACCGGAGAGGTGCGCGCGAGAGTGTCTGTTCCCTGATCATCACTTTGTTGGGGGGGGGAGGAAAAAAAAAGACATGTGGCGCTTGAGCGCGAGCCCAGTTGCATCATCACCAACAGCCTTTAAAACGCCTCCCAGCTCACCGGTGGAGGTAGAAATCGAGCCAGCAGCGAGAGAAACGCACTTCTGCTTCCCACTGCGACGGCGCGGCGACACAATGGAGACAAATTACCCCACAACCAGGAGGAAAGTCAACAGGACGCCATGCTGCAGTATAAAGGTAAGAGTCGATGCTGCCGTTTAAACGTCGCGTTTTAACCCGCCTCTCTCTCTCACTCGTTGTTTGTTGTTTAACATTTTTATTTCGCTGGAGAATCGACAGAGTCAAAGTCTACCTCGGCACGTCGCCTCACGTTTCTCTTCACGAACCTTTTGGGACCTGAGCGTCTCTCTGCCTCCTGGGAACAAAGTGCAATGCTGTGTTTGGTCCTTAACAATAATCTGATAGAAAGTTATTTTAATTTTATCCCGTTTATATTCTGTCATAAAGACCTGGGCTTAAAATAAATCTTACTTTCAAAAAAAAAAAAAAAAAACTAACTAAATTTACTCCACTGGGACTTAAAAAAAAAAAGTAAAAATAGAGCTAAATCGGAATTCTGACCTCTTTATTAGAAGTTGCATTGGCCATAACTGACCTCCTTATCTCGAAAATATGACGTTATCTAATATTATCTAATATTTAGTAAATTACATTTGTGCTCAAAATTATTAAGGTCCGGTATCTTGAAACATTAATATTTCTACTCTGATGACCTGGCAACCACCATGCCCAATGACCTGTGCATGATTCATGCATGGTTATTGTGTGGTTGTCCAGTGACCTGGCCAATACAAGAATTTTTATTAATATAGCATATTTTCAGTAACAAGGCAATACAAAGGGCTTTACAAGATTTAAAAGAAAATACAAACCAAGGAAAGAGCAAAAGAAGAAAAAGATAATGATGTTGATCTAAAGTAAATAAACTAGATACTCTTATTCAGGGTTTGTAGATGGGTATAGGTATCAGTAAGTATCCTCTGGTCTGATTCATTTTCTGGGTTGGAAGAATCAGAATCTAAAAAATAGTTGCTAAGGTAGTTTTTCTGGTTTCTAAGTTTGCTCTACCTCCTTTTCTGGTTGCAATAATAGGAGTCTTATCTGCATCCAAATAGTGAGTACTCGACAGTTTCTAAAATATAATCTAAAGAGTGACTTATAAATGAATAAACTAGAGTCTCTGGACTCCAAGTTTGTCCTTTTCTGGGTTAAAAACTCCACAGTTTCTAAAAACATAGGATAAAAAAGAGGAAAGGACACATCAGGGCACACGGCAACATTCAGGCAAAACAACGACATGAATGAAGGCAGAGACATCAGAGGGCCATGAAACCATGTTGCTCAGCTTTCCGGCAGAAGTCTGATAAGATGATATTATCAAGGCATGGCCTTGGGAGCCCTTAGCTCCACAGCTGCATGGATAACAGGGGGGGTTGAGGTCGGAAGGAGCTTTATCTTTACATATCTTCAAGTAGATTGGAAACATGCATCCCTTCCAAGGCAACATGGAGAAAGCCAATTCAGATACAGACTGTCTTAGATTGAGTAGATTATAAATTTCAATCTTCCCTAAAGTCTCTCCGATACATCTTAGTTCCCAATTATCCAAATTAGTTTGGTTGTTCCACTGAATTGAAACTAGCAACTTTTCCAATATCAATTCCATCCAATTAGTGAGTTTTTGAGTCCTCAGCTGGGCTGCGAGTCTCAGCAAGACTCACATCCATATTGCGTCTCTGTCCACACCAACAGTCTGAGTGTTCGCTTGTTCGGCCAAGTCCGTCACAAATTTGTCAATGAGCCAGGTATTCACACGCTCCAAACAACAGAAATCCTGTTATCATGAATAAATCCAGGGTGTATCCTGCCGGGTGTGTCCCTGTAGGACAAGAGGGCTCTCCTGTGCCCAGTCTTCTCGTTGAGACAATTTGACCAATTGCATTGAGAGACTGGTTAACCAGATCCATAATTTGTAGATTTGGAGGATGTGCAAAGAAAGGCTAAAAAAATATTGAAAAAGATAGGACAAAAACAGAGAAAGCAGGGCAGGCGTGGGCAGGGAGGGAGCAGAGGAGAAAAACAAGAGAGAGAGAAAACAAAAAAATAATAGCAGGTGTATCAGAGTAACAGAAAACTAAACAAACTGGCAGCCATACTGTTTATGCTGCTAATTTGTGATTTACTGAGTCATTGTTTGAAAGAGGGATTGTTCAAGCGGTAGCAGTGCAGAGTTTGATATGTGAGGTTTATGATGAGAGAAAACTGTTGTCAAAAAAGTTTATTGGGGAGTGGGGAACATAAAATCGAGTGCCGTAAAGGATTAGCTGCTTAAGTTAACGTATCTTTAAAAGAAAGTCAAAACCAAAAATATAAAATATAATGGAAAACTACCATTCCAGTGGAACAAAAACTATAGCCAACTCAGGAAATTCCCTTAAATGGGAATTTCAACAAGACAACGTCCTGAAGCCCACCAGCTGGTGAGCAGGGTTTTCTTTCCAGACCACAAAACAATGAGTAATCTTCATAATTGTGGATACAGCTCATAATTGTGATTTTTATATGTAGTAAATACGAAACGTGGTTGTAAAAAAAAAAAAAAAAGTTCCATTAAATCGCATAAACACGAGACAAGATTTTTCTTTATGTCCATCAAAGTGGCAGAAATGGGCCTCCATGAGATCCAGTTGTACAAAACCAGAAGTAGTTTTTACATCTGTGGAATTTCAGTCATCTTCTAATAGCTTTAACCAAAGGAAAGTCTTGATAACTTTGATTGATCTTCCTCCAATAAGAACCAAATGTTCTAAGTCAAGACAAAGATGTTTATGTGTTCAACAGCAGCATTCACGTCCAGTTTTGGGGAGTTTTGTGTGTCTCCGTTTGTATTACTACCTTCTTAGAGAACTAACCGGAGGGAGACATGTATCCATATCCACTACGTGCCAAAAGGAGAGTTTTTTTTTTTAGTCATTGTATTGCAACAATGGATGAGAAACTCTGCATTCCAGGACTCTGGGTAATGAGGCAAAGGTTTATTTTGCACTCCTGCTTGTTACTCTCAAAACGTGACAGTGACTCATCTCCGAGCAACGCCTTTGACTTGAGGCTTTTTCAGACAGTAGAAACAGTTCTATCGCCAAAAGAAGAAAAGACCATTTAACTCCACGTGACAGTTTTTAATGTTTAGTTATCCCTCCTGCCGTATCAGGTTCTGTGCTGGAAGATACCCTCTGTTGAAGCACTGATGTATTCACGTGGATGGATGGGAAGTCGGTGAAACAGCGAGGGTCAGCATCGGGTCATGATCTTGTCAGTCACGTTGGGTGTTCCTTATGAACTTTTGCCCCCTTCCAAGCCCTGTGGTGGTATATTTAGATAAAGGGAGTAGTTCAGAACAAACAGACTAAACAGCAGGCAATTTGTCAATCTGCTCTCATTTAAGTGATGAGATTAGCCGCATGAAAGACGGGACTCCGATTGCAGCAAACAACACGGTCGTAGTTTTCCCCCACTTGAATGCAAATACTGCGCAACCAGACAACAAAAGTGACACAAACCACTGATATCCACTCATCTTTCTCTTGGCGCAAGTTCAAGCAGAACTGCAAAAGCCTTTACTTTCTATTTCCTCAGGTTCGTGAGAGCACCCGGTTTGTTTATGTACTGATCTCCGCTTTGAACTATTTCTGCTGGCTACACCTTGTCCGCACTCAAGTCGGAGCCTTTAACCCCTGAAGCTGGAGGCTATTCTTTAAAAATTTCCACCTGGACAACTTCACTCCTGCACTTGAGCACCATATGCCATCTTGTAAGCCTTCTTACATGTTTGTTTTTTTTTTCCTTCTGGCTATCTCGACATCCGAGAGGAAAATTCAGTCAGATTTGATGCAATTTTTCTGAAGCGTAGCGACTTTTGCATTCGTGTAAATCATAGCATTATTGGTGATCTCATCAGCACATATCTTACACTTGGCTAACCTTAAAAAGTGTTTCCAAAGAAATTGATACACTTGTGTGAATGTAAATAAAAGCAGAATGCAGTGGTTCATTGTACGAACTTCTAGCACCGTGGAAACGCAACGATTTAACCGAGACGTTTTGTGTTAATGTCCCGCTCAACTACAATGCCTTGTTCACATCTTGTCAAGCTGCAAGTACAGCAGTATCATGAAAGCCACTCTGAGGTGCTTTTCTTAAGAGTTCATACGACAAACCTGAATGAGCTTGAGTTAATTATCAAAAAAGCTTATGTAGAGCTTTCGGTCTCTACATGTGTAGAGATTGGCAATTACAGTGAAAGAAAATTCCTCAAAGTATCCACTCATAGTGGTAAATACAAATTTAGACTCACTTCAGATTTTAATGCATAAAAACAAAAAACAGAGATATTGTAAAACCCCAATAAAATGGGTTAAAATTACAGGACCCAACTTGACAACGTGAAAGTGACTAACATGGCTTCAAACGAAATGTCCAAGACTAAATAAGCAGGCGGTTCAACACTCATGACATTTTCTGAGATGCTGTAGTTTCCTCTGGGAAGCACATAACTAGCGAAAGAAACACTTTTCTCAAAACATGTAGAAGACAGAATTGCAGCCGAATTTTCGTTGACATCCTTTAGGATGAGTTGCGGTGAAGGACACCACACGGGTTTGGGTTGCTTTCTTATCGTCTCGGTCAGAAACAGTGTGGTGAAATGAGGGCTGATGGAGTTGAATCAGTTTCCACCCAGATGCACCGTCAGATGGAATCTAAAACTTTGTGATGACTATCGCAGCGTCGACATGTAGTTGAAAACGGGAGCTTCCGATATGAAGCCGAGCTATGTGGCCAACCTAGCTTGTAACTGTTACCTTTGAATCTGAGATAGTGCTGCTTTATTGTGTTCAGGAGGCCTTTGTGCAGCCAACCCGTTTGCTCACAATAAAAAGGGAGGCGATCCTCACCTCCCATGCTGCTTTGTCTTTGTTCCAGTTTTTAAAGAAGTAGCTAAGTCTTACGAGAAACAAAAAAAAAAAAAACCCAACAATAAATATAAATATGACATCAGCTCGCTCTCTTAAATCAAAGTGATAGAAAACGTCCTGTGAACTTCCTGCGATTCTTCCCTTCTCAGCAGGTTGAAGTCGAGGACAATGTCATCCTGACAGTGTGTTCAAAAAGGACAACTGTTAACAAATGCACAACCTGTGGATCTGATAGCAGTGTTCTGCCACTTTTTATTGGTTTGATGTTGCAGTCTAATCTTCTTATAAACTTCAACCCATAATCATCAAAGACAACAAACACTTCAAATATGAAGGGTTTGTTTCCTTTTTGGATTAAATTACTGATAAAAAAAAGAACCTTTGATGAGAAATTCCTAATTTATTGAGATGAATTCTGGTTTTCTTCTTGTGGATCCTCCCTGCAGGGAGCACATCCTGCATGTGTTCAGTGCCAGTCTGTGCGTGTGTACCAAATTATGTGGAAAGCTGATCATTTCCTCTGTTTGCTCAACTTGTTGCTTTGAGTTTCTCCACCAGGAAGTGTAAATAATATCTTATATCAATCTAACATTATGACATTAAGGATAATAACCTTTTGTTTTTTGCTTTATTATGCACTAGGTGATTTCTCAGTGGGAAAAAAGAGATGTTTTCATGGATTATGTATGAAACTGAGACAGCAAAGACCGAAGTGGGTTTGAGCTCAGATTTAGACTATTTGTCATGATCTCAATCTCGAACAAAAGACATTCTTTGCCTCAATCAGGAACAAGGTCCTGTTGAAACACTCAGACAGGCAAAGGCCGCTTGATAGGAAACGAGGATGAAATATTGGCAACGCTGTACAAGCATGTATTGTGCGTGCTCACAAACCAGAAAGATGAGTTTTAATGGGGGAATTAGCTGTTCTGAGGAAGCTGCACAGTTTATTCTCCCCTTGCCCACCTGGCAGTTTGCTAAACAAAGATGAAATCTGAGATTTATCGCTGTTTTCATTGCAAATTCTCCTCTAAATCTCCTCACGTATCTTGAGCGTCACTGGGACGTTCGCGCGGAGGTTCTGTGAAGCCCTCAGAGCAGACCGTGGCTCCTTTTCCAAATCCCTGGGAGTCCAACCAGCAGGCAACTGGGATCCTTACACAACTCTCTGTGTGAAGAGAGAAGTGCAAGAGACAAGTCATGTAAACAAATAGAGACACGGACTATGTAGAGTAACGAAAAGCTGGAGGTTTGGCAGACAGCGGGTCCAAAACGTCAGATTTTTGCTCTGGAAGAGGTGTGCGGTTTCGATGTTTTGGAAAACATGATTCTTTATTTTTTTTTGGCTCCTCAACTATTTACTGTTTTGCCAGGATTTTTACAAATTCAGAGAGGGTAGCTGACCAAATGAACCTCAGATCCCTACAGCAGGACTACCTGTTGAGCTAAGAGTTGCATTAATGGATGTTGGCCTTGAGCTGACTCTGGCCCATAAAACACTCTCCTGACTTAGCTTCAATAAACAGAAAAAGTCAAATTAATCTGTCAAATGCCATGAAAGCTGCATGTGTAACAACTTGTTAGCAAATTTTTCACTTCCAAGAAAGCAGGTTCCTCAAGTAGGTGAGTATATGCATCATTGTTCCTTGGAATAGGTTTGAAACCTCTTACATTTTTATTATGGTATACTTTGTTACTGGAAACTGGCTGCCTACCAATAAAAACATGAGCTGTAGGTTCAATATTTTTTCCTGAGGGAGAGTTTATTGAAAACATTCTTCTTTGCATGAAACAAGATGTCATTCCATCCTGCCACAAGGATGGATCACTGTTGGGAGAAATTGTAAATGTTGATATGAAAGGAAAATGAAACATGATTTCAGGAGCAAAGTCCTTTGGGACAATTGGACCAGGAATGACATCCGCACCTACAAAAACACTTTATAGAAACTGTGAATGGAGGAAGGCTGATTATTTGAGCCTCCTTTGGAGCAGCAGACCCTCAACACTTTGTAGTCACTGAACCTCTTTGTTCAGCACTAAGCTGTTTTTGATCGCAGGTTCCAGGCGGACAGAGATCTTCTCTTTCTGTTTCTGACTATGACAGCATTACTATTTTCTTTAACCACAATATAGAGACTCTAGCAACATCCTGTCTGTCTGTCTCTCTGTCTGTCCTAGCTGTTCGTCCTGTGCCACTGCTTCCTGCAGCTCTCGCAGCTGCTCTACAGCGCCTACTTCAGGAGCACCATCTCCACTATCGAGAAGCGCTACGGCCTCAACAGCTTTTCCTCAGGAGCCATTTCCTCTCTCAACGAGGTAAGAGCCAAAAGCAGCATCTCCTCATGAGCTGTAGGACTGAGATAGTGTGATCTTTCAAGGATAATAACAAAAGAGGAACTGAAGTGCGAGCATGCAACACAAAGTCACATTTCCTGATATTTCAGGTGGCACTGCTGTATTTTAGAGACACACATGTCAGGAGTACTGAGTCTCAGTGTTCTCCTTACGAATCCCTCAAATATGCTTTTAATTTGTCTCCGATAAATGACCCGCGGTCAGGAGTTACAAACCACATTGCCATGTTGACGTTATCTGTGTGTTTGCTTTCAGCATTGTGTTATGAAACTAGACTAAACAAAGCCGGAACATTACATCTCAGTTCACGCTTTGGTCATGCAAAGCCACCTTATTAATGTTTTCATTGCGATAATGGATCAAATGATTAAGTGTACTCGAAAAGAGACTTCATTTATCACGTCTGCATTTTCTGTGTTGTGTGGGTTGTAGGATCTGACTGGTTTGCTTCTCTGGTTGTGCTTCAAAGGTCAGCAACTGCATCCTGATTGTGTTTGTGAGCTACTTTGGCAACCGGGTTCACCGTCCTCGCATCATTGGCATCGGCGGACTGCTGATGGCCTTCAGCGCCATGATCCTCACCTTACCTCACTTTCTGTCGCAGCCCTACACACACAGCTCGGCTTTGCAGAGTAAGAACAAGCTGCACGCGTAAACAAACACAAAGCCGCATGACGTCTGTCGGTGCCGAGTGGGTCCAGACCAGGGAGCTCACAAGTGCACAAACATATCAATGCATCTTTGGGTTTGCCTACAGCACCAGCAGCTTCTTAAGTGGACTCACCAAGAGTTGACTAGGTTCACTCCCCCTGTTCAGTTGAACTTTAACATAAACTGAAGGAACATTCATAATCTCTATGTTAAAAGCTACGAAGATAAGAGTTACCCTCAGGCTATTTCATTAGCAGTAACAGAAGCCTCCTTCTGCCTTTTCATTTTACCTCAGACTGATTATGTTGGATTCAACAGAGGGCCAGAGAGGTTTCAAGAAATTAAAAATCTGCAGTTTTCTGTCATCAAACATCACTTCTTGTATTTAAATTTTTTTTTTCCATCTTTCTTCCAATATTTGACCATGTGTGTCTGCCTACTGCATTTCAGAAGACCAAGCCCTATGCAACCCATCTGCCAACGCCACCAACCCGGAGTCATGTGATGTTGAAGTTAACAAGCGCCTGACTGAGACCACCCTGTTGTGGGTATTTATGGGCATCGCTCAGCTTCTGTTCGGCGTGGGTTCGGTCCCCATCCAGCCCTTCGGCATTTCCTACATTGACGATTTTGCAGAACGTAAAAACTCCCCTCTCTACATAGGTGAATAACCTGCAGTTCAGAGATACAAGAGACCTGTGTGTGTAAAAGGAGATGAGTTCAATGGTCATGTTGTTGATACAGCACTCCTTCAACTTCCTCCTATTTTCTGATGTTGCAACCACAAGCCAACACTTATTAGTGCATAATTGTGAAGTGGAAGAAAATTGATTTGTCATTTATTCTTAAAAATGATAAGCTAAATAATTGGAGCGAATAATTTATGTCACCATGTTTATCTGCGTTTATAGTTTCAAGTTTTTTTGGGGTATGTCTTTACTAGCTTTTCACATTTAGAGACTAAAATGGTTCTTTGCTTATTCAAAGGTCTAAACTTTAACTGGGCCATTCTAACATAACATAATAAATTCCTGTTAGTGACATATAACTCCCCCAAAGCTGTCAGTATTGTTGAGACCAATTGTTTTAACATTTTTCTCTATTTGTTCAATGAAACCATCAATAGATATCAATAAATTTGAAAATCTGATTTAATGCGATTACAATTAGCAGTTTAATTAAATAATCGTACGTCTTTATGTGACAGGTGACCTAAAGAAGGAATGTTTTTCAACAGCAGTATTTGTGTTTGTGGGACTATTATTGCTGTGACACTCAGCTGCAGCCACACGGATCTCTAAAAACGAAGTGATAAATAGTTTGTATCATCATCTTTGTTGTTATCAATTCGTTTTGAAGTCCATATTGACCACGCCTACATCCGTTCAACATCGACTGAAGACATTCAATTTTGTAAACCATGTAAAATTTACCTTCCACTTCATAATAATTCACCGGGTTTTTTCCCCACATATTTTCCTTACTACGCCCTGTAGAGGACATGTTTTTTCTTTATTCTGATTTGTTGCTTAAAAGTCTTTCCTGTGAGGAATGTATTTTCTCTAACCTATGGCCTCTCGCTCACAGCCATCCTGTTTGCCGTGTCTGTGTTTGGACCCTCCATCGGCTACCTGCTGGGTGCATTCATGCTTCGGTTCTATGTGGACATGAACAGAAGTAGCTTCAGTAAGGACAAAGTCTTTTAAACACATCCTATGGTTCATGTAGATTCAGGCTGGGTGTTTATCAAGGCTTCGTTGCATTTTGTAGCGACTCAGCAGTCGGTTCTGTTCTGTCTATTTCAGATGAAATTCCGACGTTGAGCCCCGTTGACCCCGGCTGGGTGGGGGCTTGGTGGATGGGTCTGCTTGTCATCACCGGCTTCTTGACCTTCTCCTCCATTCCTTACTTTTTCTTCCCCCGTCAAATGAGCTTTGAAGTAGAGGTAAGTGACTATGACAAGACAGGTTGTGTGTACAGCATTGCTGTGATGGCTGTAGATTTGGCCAGAAGTTTACAAGCATCTTTCTGTTAAAAATGAAAGGATACAAGTCATGATTTTACAGTTTGTAGCTGTGGAAGAAAGGTTTTTTTTTTTTTTTAAATTGTCAAAATACTTCTGTGTTCTCTTATTGACCTCTGCTGGATGTATGTTGACATTACAAGTTGATTCTAGTCCAAAACGATATTATCATTACAATTATTGAACAAAATAAATGAAGAAAATCTGATATACACAGAAAAATACAGATCTACGAGGGAAAATAATGTGTTGGTTCACTATTCTATTGAAAGCTCATGAGCCATTTTCACTTGACTACATTTTACCACACATTTTTAACTAAAAACTTTAATTATATCACTGACCCAATTATGTTCCAATGGCCTTCTGTAAGAGGCCATTGGAACCTGTTAAAGGTTCCGATTCACCAGCCATGGCTGATGCATCACTGACCCTCCACTACACTTATTAGTGGGTATGAATTGCTCCATATTTTTTTCTTCATCAAAGCCATCTGGAGTCCTTGTCATTGACCAAAATTGAAGTTAAAATTTCCAAAACTTATTGAGGAAAACGTAAGGCAAGTTTGGGGCTGGAGATCCTGTCCTGTAGCTGTTGTCAACATACTGCAAGACAATATCTCCAAACAAAGCAGGTTTTTAATAATGTTTCAGACGGGATCATCTGATGCACCTACTGATTACAACGTGGTTATGTAATCATAATCTTTCCTTGGCAAAGGAAAGCCGACATAACCTCTGTGTTTGCTCTTTTGTAGATGGCGGAGAGTGAGAGTGAGAGTGACACACACGATAACTTACGGGAGAAGGATGGGTCTTTGATTGAGTTTCTTAAATGTGAGCGCATCATAAACCAGATACTAGGCATATATCCTGACTGTCTAAGCTGCATTTTACAAATCAGTGTTCCTGTGTGTGTTCTGGCCAGTGTTTCCTAGAATGTTCTTCCACCTGCTGTCCAGCCCTCTCTTCCTCTTGCTGGTCATGGCCCAGTGCTGCTTTTCCTCAGTCATAGCAGGCCTAGCTAGCTTCCTTAGCAAGTTCCTGGAGAGACAATATGGGGTTTCAGTTTCCTTCAGCACTCTGCTAGTCGGTAAGTATGGCAGGAATTTATAGTTTCAGTCAGAATTGTACATTGATGTGAAAGAATGTTCAAGTGAAATTTTTGGATTTATTGTGGATTTTCTTTTACCACACAAGATCATAAATATTTTTAATAAGTTGTGCTGAAGGCTCTCTGCAGTTGGAATGGTTATCATAGATTGAATTTCTCACCTTGACTCTCCACACATACTGTCGTTGTGGCCAGATAGCTCAATGAAAATGTCAATTTTGAAGCAGATGCAGCTTTCTTGGTCTGTCAGTTCTACCAAAAAGAGTAGTGAAATATCCAGAAAATGTCCAGAGACTTAAAATGAATGAGATTCAAGCAAATAGCAAATCAAAGATTCTAAAATTTCCCTGAAAGCTGTTATTTTAAGGTTATGCTGTGTGTAAAAACCCAGTGGTTCTTGTTTCCCAGGGTCTTTGAATCTACCAGCTGCAGCATTGGGAATGCTGATCGGTGGCTTCATCATGAGGAGGCTGGGACTCACCTTGAAGAGCATCCCTCGTTTCGCAGTCATCATGCTAATCATTTCCACTGCCCTCTGCATCCCTCTCTTCTTCATGGGCTGCGACACGCAGAAAGTCTCAGAGGTCAATTACCAAGTTGATCGTCCCAGGTGAGTGCACAATGTCTGACCAACACATGAGAGCTGCTGTACTCTGTTTCCTCACAGCTCTCTGATGTCTCAAAGCCAATGCAGTTAACACTTGAAACATTTAGGAAATGTTTGATTTTACAAAATGTAAGACAGAGAGTGTCTATGATAAATATTATGAGCTCAGACAATTATTTGATATTGATATTTTAAAATATCCTCAACATAAAGCTCAAACTGAAAAAAATCCAACATCCCAGTCCGTTTTTTTTTATACATCTTTAACACAGTTACAAGGTTTTTTGCAATTTCATGTGGGCCTATCTTGAATTCATAGCTCTCTTTTTTATATTAATTTAAAAGCTTAATTGTGTTTTGCATTCTGAGAGATGCAGAACATCCTTCACATCGCATTCCTTTCAGGTTTTACAAGCTGTTTTTGTTTTTTTAATGACAGCTCATTTCAACCTGGTTTAGAGTTGAAACCAGAAATTCACATACATGAAATAAAAAGACACATACATGTTTTTCCTCACTGCTTGAAGTTGAATCAGACCAAACAAGTTTTAAGATAATCATTGAATAATTAACACATTTTACATTTATAATTATCATTTTTGAGTTATGACTCTATTTAGCAATGATATGTTATTAATTAATGAAATTATTTGTGTTTGCAATAATATTTGGGTGGAGCATCTTTATGAAACAGCAGGTCATGTCGCTTGCCATCACATCGTCATCATTGTTTCAAGAGACTGCAATCACTGTGTATGTAAATTTATCATGTTGAAGGCATTCGTAAATATATATATTATTTATTCTCTCACTCATTGATAGAGATGATCAATTTAGCAAATGGAAATCATTTTGATAATTCTAACTTTCTAACTAATCTAAAACAGGAGAAGTTTACTCTAATTTAATTTTAGAATAAATAATAAAATGTCTCATTTTATTTGGTGTCTGTAAACTTCTGGTTTCAGCTGATTGTTAATATATATATATAATAAATATAGCGTGACAAAATTGAGTAGCATATTTTACAACCATTCTAAAAATATTGAGACCCTCAGTTCCATCCTGCAGGAAACAGATTATGTGCGTTGGTTGAACTCTGCTGCCCCCTGCAGGTGCTCCGCCAGCTGCTCCTGTCCTGAGAGCACCGCCCTACCTGTCTGTGACTCCAATGGGATTCAGTACCTTTCTCCCTGCCATGCTGGCTGCACTAACGTCACCTTACACCCCAACAGGACCATCAGATCTATGGTTAGTCATCACCCTCTCTCAGGGAATCTGTATACATAGAAATATGCTGGTGTTGAACACGTGGTGAGAAAACACAGATTTAAATTGTCGTCTCTTCTAATGGGAGGGGGAGGACCCTTTGTTTTTAAGAAATCAGTTGTACAAACAAAAAGAAAATATTTTGCTGCAGCTTTATCATACAGGTTTTAGATGCTTGAATCTTCCTTAAAAAAAAAAGTAAAAGATGAACTGGCAGCTCTAAATTAGCCAGGTTCCTTCTCCAATTCTGAACAGGAAAACAGGAAAACAAGATAGAAAATTAATGTGTGAATTAATGAAGGGGAGGAAAAAATATAAGTCTCTAGTCTCTTTTTTTTCCTCCAAAGGTTTGAGGTAATTTCTACACAAAAACAGGCGAGGACGCAATTCAGTGCATTGCTCTCCAATGATGTTACTTAACTCCTCTGTCAAACAGAGTCTTTGATGTCATGTTTTGAAATCAGGTTTTGCACAAAGAGAAAAGCTTTGTGCATGCATATTTGTAACACACGCTTAACTCTAAATCTCTCCAAGAGCTCGCAGATAAGCTGGTTAAATGTTGCTCCATAACCTGCATGCCGCTGAATCTAAGAATCTATGAAAATAACAAAACACTTTGATGCAAGGTGTATTAATTTAAAAATTTCAGCTTAGAAAAATAGAAGAAACTCTGAATTTGGGGAATTCATTCTGGCTTGTTCATGGCTGTCACTCATAGATACTTTATCTGAGAGAGAACCTGTAAAAACAGAATAAATTGCCACTTGAAGTTTTAGTGACGTTGAACACTTTCGCATTATAACTACAAACCTCAGTCTTTATTATTAGGATTTTATGTGACAGTCCAACACTACATATAACTTTAGAGTGATTATACATGGTTTAACAAACTACAACCCTAAAAAGTGAATGGATTGTATTCACCCCTCCCTCAGTCAATACTTTGCAGAGAAAATAACAACCTCAAGTTTCTTTTGAAGAAGTGTGGAAACTGAACATTCTGCCATTTTTCTTTCCTTGCAAAATAGCTCAAAGTCAATTAAATTGAATTGGGTTTGCCGTACACTTTCCATTTTTAGATGATAGACCGCATCATGCTCTGTAGGAAGTTCAGACCTCTCTGTCCCCCTGCTTTAAACTTTTAACTTTAAGTTATTACTCAGAATAAATTACAGATGGAGTCAGTTTACTGATTAGCTCAAGTTCATTGGTTGTATTTGATTTTATTTAGGGGTCTCAGGGTACAAATGCATGCAACATATTGACTTATATTTGTTAAAATATATATATATAGATAAGGTATTTTTCCATAGGGGGAGGCAATATTGACTTATACAAATGATTTATTGTTTTTTTAGGCAACCATATGGCTGCGACTGTGTGTCACAGCAATTCTAGTCCCACAAACACAAAGACTGCTTTTGAAAAATATTCCTATTTGTAATACACTACCAATGGGATAAAGAAGTGGTTTTATATAATTAAACTTGCCTATTTTCAAATTTATTGATATTTTTAGATGTTTCATTGAACAAATGACAGTTTCTCACATAAAATCCTTCTGCAATGAGTTAATGTTTGTGGATGTAACGTGACAAAATGTGGAGAATTTTAAGGGATATAAAAACTTTTGGCAGTTTCTGTATGTCAGATAAAGCTGACATTTGCTGCCACGCTGGCTTGTATCTTTCCATCACAAACTGACCACAGCTGACACATAGCTTGCTTTTGATAGCTAATAAAAAGCCTTTTAAATCACAGCTTGCAGAGGACTTTGCATATTAGACAAAGTGTAGAAACGTCAGTGCTTGTGAAAAATCTTCCAGCTGGTGGACTGAGTGGCTTATGTAGTAGTTCGAACCAGACCTCTTGCAATCCAACTACCGCACTCAATATTAAAGGTCAAAGGCAGACGTTACGACTCGCAGCTAGCTTAGAGGATTAATGTACAAAAGTAAGGTTAATTAATCTTTGCTTTCTGTGAAGGTGAAAATCAAACATCATGCCACACACATATGTCTAGATAGGTTTCAGTGTTTAATTTGCATGAACCACTGCTGATGCCTCTTGATAGTCTTATTAAATATGCAGAAAAGAATCATCATAATTCCAAGCACAGAACCTTCAGCTATACATAAAGACAATTACAAAGTTAGTCTTTTATCAGCTGAAGAATATTTTTACGATCAAAGGACTAAAGTTCCAAAAAGATCTAGAGAAACGCATTTATGCAATTGTTTTTAGTTGGATTAATTGCTGCAACAGTGTCTTCGCAGGTTTCCTAAAAAAAAAAAAAAAAAAAAAAATCTTCCAGCTAGAGCTGAACCGGAACGCTGCTGCTGGTGTTCTGACTAAAACCAGGAAGACATCACCCCAGTTCTGAAGTCTTTACACTGGCTCCCTGTAGCTCAGAGAACAGACTTTAAAATACTGCTGGTAGTTTATAAATCACTAAATGACCTGGCACTAAGATAAAATCAAGATCTGCTGTTGTTGTATCAACCTTCCAGGCCTCTCCAAAATGGAGAAGCAGCATGCAGCTTCTATGCACCACAAATTTGGAACAAACTTCCACAAAACTGTAAAACAGCTGAAACACTGAGTTTCTTTAAATCAAGGCTACAAGCCCAACTGTTTGAAATTGCCTTTGCTTAATGACAAAATTAAGCTGTGTAGCAATAAAGCTGTGTAGCAATAATGTTACTTTCTCTTTGAATACAGGTATTTACCAACTGCAAGTGTGTGTCTGGGGCTGAGAACCAAGTCACACCAGGTCATTGCCCAAACCGCTGCTCTCATTATCTCTACCCAGTCATAATACTCATCTCTCTCGCTTCACTGATTGCCTGCCTCTCTCACAACCCACTATACATGATGGTGCTCAGGTAAAGAAATATGTCGATGTGGACACATACAGACACAGATTTGTTGGTATCTATGAGTTAAAATCTGCAGTAGCAGATATATTCTTTAAAAAGCCTGTCCTTAATTTAGGCACAAATACTGAGTTAAGTGGATCACACTGACTAAAAGTTGAGTCCTGTGTTTTTTTCTTCATTTCAGATGTGTTTCCGCTGACGAGAAGTCATTTGCTATAGGACTTCAGTTCTTACTTATGAGAATATTTGGTAAGTTTTACTTTTCCTAATCACATACTATATATATTTAAAATGATCTTTAAGTCATTAAGTGCTGAAGCAAACCCCAGTAAGAGTCTGCTTCTAGTTCATCTTAATATCAATATAAGATTTTGAAAGTATGCAAGATTTTGTAGTTTGTAAGAGGAGGACAGATTTCTGCTGTTGAATAAATTAGGAGAATCTGATTTAAAATATCAATAACCAAATAATTAGAAAAGGGTGAAACCCGATATTTACATACACCGAAGAAAGACATGGACATGGATTAAACTAATTATTTAAGTCCTTTCTTGATTGTCAGCGTTGGATTTTGCAGCATCAGTTCTTGCAGGCCAGACGAGTTGGGTTCAGATTAAATCCCAGAGCGTTAGCTAATCTTAGGCAACGGGAACACAAACCGTCTGAGGGGTGGGTGTCCTCCAAAACTCACGTTGCCTCCGTCTCTGTCAGCCTGGCTTCCGGGTCCAGCGATCTTTGGGATGGTCATCGACATGTCTTGCATCTGGTGGACAAACGTGTGCGGAAGGAAGTTCAGCTGCGAATACTATGACACCGTCCTCTTCAGGCGCCGGTGGGAACATTTACGACTCTGAAGAAATGTGTACCTGCACTTTGAACACATTTATTGTATTCACTAATGATCAATTACCTTACCCCTACAGATACATTGGTTTGCAGGTGGGTTATAAGATCATAGGCATCATCCTGCTGATCATCCTGGGTTGGAAAGCAAAACGGACCCAGGAGTACTATCTGGACAAGAAGCCCACAATCTGAGTGTGATCCGACTGAGACCCGTCTCATAGCGTCGCTGTGAAGTTAGAACATTTTGAGGAAGAGTACTCCTTGGAAGGCTGCATCTGTAATAAAGGATGAAATCTCGATTAAAAATTGTTAAATATCTTTGAACATTACGTGTTCGTGTTAGGTTTAAATGGACTTGGGGTTTCTGTTTGCATTGGGAACATACTCTATAACTAATGAACTGTATAGCTTAATATTTAAGTTATTTTCTACATATTTGTCTCATACCCTGAGACATCAGTAACAACACCAAGAATAGATTCATGTATAATCATATGTAAGTTTTTGATGGATTTTCAGATATTAAGCACCTACTCCTACCTTTTATATTTTTAAATAAAATAAATTATGCACCTAAATCATGCTGTATACAGATCTGGTCATTGAACATGTTCTGTGTTTTGCTATTTGTCCGTTTAAAAGCTGCTTTGAGATTTTGTGAAACTATTGCAGCATATGTCTTCGTGAGCAGAAAGTTGTTGGAACATGGTGGTGGCCGCATCAACCTGTGGGAATGAGTTTTGTCAAGAGGGAAGCTGGTCAGAGACGTAAAGATAACTGTTCAAAATAAGGAAATATTGATCCCATGCATCACCTGCTTCATAAACACAAATCTACCCTGACATTTTGTTTTACAGATTCAGAAAAAGAGCCAGCTTACATTGTGACAAAAATATCTAATAAAGGGGCCTCTGATGAGACCCATTCAAATAGCTCTGAAATGTAGAAGTGAAGATCTCGTTTGGGAAACATTGTTTGTGTAATGTACTTTTTTTCCTCTATTTTTTTTTCTCTTTTCTCTACATACAAAGATCAGTGAATACAACAAATAATTGTATTTAATAGCCATTAATGTGACACTTTAGTTCATCTGGCTCGAAGCAAACATCAGAACATACTGATGGAGCAAAAGCTTGGCAGTTTTTTCCCCATAATGTATGAAAATCATGTATAAAACTGCATTTTTATTAATAAGGTTGGCTTTGTCTGGTATGGATATTTATTTGATGTTGTGAATCACTGGATTAAAAGATTATACATTTGTGAGAGGACAAATACTATTATTATTGGAAACATCCCTGTAGGTTATGCCTTCACCAAGCAAATGAGCCAATTTTAAACAACTTATTTAAGTTTAATTCGATTTTAACACGGTTGTGTAGACTTTGAGAGCTCTTGAAATGTGTCTTGGGGTTCCAACTTTCCGATTCTCAAATGGTTCCTGTTTTTGTTTTCTAATATTTAGGTCGTTTCCCTCCTGTTGCATCCATAAAAGTTCGCCTTATCTGCATTAAATCGCCATCTCTGGACTCTCTCTTACATATGACGTCATGTTATTTTCATGGCTGTCAGTCGTGTGAGAACGCGCATGCGCGTGGGCCCGCCTAAACACTCCCTCCTAGCGTCACGGAGCGGGCGGTGCAGCGTCAGCGGCTCGTGCCCATCACGAAGACTCGGAGCTGTAACATCGCCGCCCCATTCCGTCGAGCATCTTCACCAACCGAGCTCCGAAGTCCCGTCATTCTGTCCTCCGGCGTCCGTGGTCGGCCCCCCCTCGTCCTCCCATCAAGATGTCCGTGGGTAATGACTTTGGGAATCCTCTAAGAAAATTCAAACTCGTCTTCCTCGGGGAGCAGAGCGGTAAGAAATGCTTTTCATTCACGCCAGAAGAAGTTCGTGCTCGGCTGTTTGTCAAGTGAAGTCGCTGCACCTGCTGGTCAGACGGCAAGTTCACGGACATTTAGCTAGCTGCCGTGGCCGTGGGGCGGCTCCGTGGGGGCTGAGGGATGGGAGCCGGAGTAGGAATGAAATGTGTGCCTCCCAGTTTGTTAGAGAGTGAGTGTGTGGGAATTAGGGCGTCACTTTAATGGAAACGCGCAGCCCTGGTTGAAGTTTAAGGGACCGGAGATGCGGCGATATCCGCCTCGGACAGTGAAATAACAGCCGGAGCTCCATCACTGGTCCTGGTTCACAGAGTGAAGGGAGGCTGAAAACAGCGTGGGGCGTGACGCTGCTGTGGATGATACAAGTTGTTTGTTTCTCTCTCTCTCTTTTTTTTTTTTTCTTTTTACTGATTCCGATGTTCCTGTGTGGAGACACACCCAGGTTGTCAGCGGCGAGGAGATAACTTGTATGGCTGCAACCTTTGCCCTTGGTATCGTTGCAGACTGACCAACTAACTATGCTTTTGAACGCTGACCCGCTTTCTGATGTACATGTTGGTGGATGAAGCGCATAGCACTGAATGATGAGCAGCGTCACACCTTTTAGCAACTCTCTCTCTGCCTCTCTCTGATTCATCCGTGGCTTTTCCTGAGCTCTGCACTCCATCCTGAGCTCTACATGCCCACACCCTCAGACAACCAACAGCGTCTCGTTTTCTAACAGCTAAATTGTTTTCCACAAGATTACACTTGAGCTGGGCGGGAACGCCAAAATGTAAATCTGCAGGTTTTAATTCAGCCTTTTTAGCAGGGCAGGTCTGGTTGTTTTAATATGCTCTATTTCTGAGGTCTTGAGAAGCTAAATGATCCCCATTAGTCAAGGCTCAGTGCTCAAGTCTTCTCTATTGATCGTACATTACAGCAGGGTCATGCATTTTTATTAAATAATTGTTAAATCTGTGGATTGTTTGTTATCTGAAGAGTGGTAAATTTGTCGGACAGATTAATTATTACAGAACATTTCTTAACCTCTCCGCATGGAATAGACAGGCTGTTGGTACCAGAGAGGATTAGGTAATTATTTGTTTAATTAATGCAAGGCTGGCTAAATTAGTTATAATCTGGACTAAGACTATCCAACCCTGGTCCTCCAGAGACATCTTAGATTTGTTCCTTCTCCACCAGAGATGAATTATTGACTGAACTCCCTCCTCAGTATGTGATAAAGTTCTGCAGAGGCTGAGTAATGAAGCAATCATTTGCTTCAGACGTGTTGAACTAGGGGAATCTGACATTTTCAGGAGCCTGGCTCTTGAGAACTGAAGTTGGACACCTGTACCGTGGAGTGTCAGTATTTATAGAAATGCAATTTATGGTTTTTCTGTTGCAAAGTGGTTACATAAGAGACTGGATGTCTGTTTCACATAGATGGTTATTTATCTGCAACACTTTTCTCCCAATTAGTGAGTTAAATCAAAATACCACAAAAACAATTTTTGAATTTGGAATCCGTAGAAGAAAAGCACAAGTAAAACGTTCCCAGGGATTTTCAGTTTAAAGGGTTTTCTTTTAATGGATAAGATCAACTTTTATTGGTATCAATAATTCTACTACATTTTATTTCTCCAACTATTGGAAGTGGTTGAACTTTTTCACATCTTGTCTTGCTAGAAGCACAGACTTCAGTATGTGATATTTAATTTGAATCATAGACCAACACAGATTAGTGAAAGGAATTTTATAATCCATACTTATCGGACTGATACTGATATGTTAAAAAAAAAAAAAAAGACTTACATCTTCTGCTATCAATTTTGATGGTGATGTATCCCAATTGTTAATGATTGTTTACTTCCAGCTTATTGCCAACTTGGAAAGCTTTCAGGATAACTGGAATTATAAAATTGTATGTGTGTGAAGTGATAAAATAACTGGGTTGCATTTGCTGTAAACTGTTTGGACGTCCACCACATGCATCTGCTATTCTTTTGACCCGAATAAGTTCAGTAATGGTGTTAAATTAACTTTGCACAGACGATGCTGTAATGATGTGAAAGGTGTTGTCATGAGAAATTTCTCCATCAGAAAGTTCTGCATAAACACTTCCTGGCTAAAGGAACACAGAGGGAAAGGTGTGTGTGCTTTTTTTTAAAAAAATGTTTTACTTTTTTTATGTGTTTTTTTTTACGGCATGAGGAGACGCTGTCAACCGTCCAGACAGCGCCGCGTCTCTGTGTGTCTCTGTATGTCTCCGACATGTCTGCAGCTGGCGGGTGTGAATCCAGTCAGCTCTGCTAGTGTCATTTATGAACACACACACACACACACACACACACACACACACACACACACACACACACACACACACAAACACACACACACGTCTGGACTGGAGCGTGTGTTAGGAACTGATGTGTGAGAGTGGATTGAAGAAAAGGCCTCCTGTGAAGGGTTCTGGTTCAGCGATGCTGAAGTCTCTGAATAGAGCATCTATAAAGGGAAAGCTAGCACGATGTCCTGCTTTTTTTTTTTTTTTTGCCCTCCATAAAAGAATGAGCTAACGTCAGAAAGAGAGGGGCTCTGGAGTAAGTAGGTGGAAGCAGGCAGAGTGTTAAATGAGCTGTCAGGAAGTCCTAACTCCTGCCTACTTCTCTGGCTGTTTCCTACTCTCCGTCTACAAAGACTTTAGGCTGAAGATTTTCCTCAACACGGCTAAAGAGGCTTTAAACAAGCTTATCGGCTGTTTCTCCACCCTGAATGCAAGCAACTAAGTCATCATTAGCACACCTCCGATTACTAATCAGAACTTTCTGGGTAGCTGACATGGGTCGTTTCCTCCCCCCCCCCCCCGACAGAAACACCGGTCGGTTGTTTGGATGTAATCCTCCTGCCTTCAAGCTTCATCTCCCTTTAGATAAACAGATGGAAAATAAATGTGTGGCGCGGTGGATATATTGCTGTCGTGAGCTTCTGCCGCCTGAATCAAAATGCCATCTTCCATCTTTGACTGCACAAAGATTGCCATCGCGCAAACACAAAGTGCTGGTTTCAAAATAGTGCTGACTCAACAGATTTGTAAGCTTCATAGCAGGCTTTAGCTGCTTGCTGCTAATGCATCAATCACTTTGTCTGCAGGAAGCGACATTTCTGAGCAAAATGAAACTGAGTTTTGGTTTTCCTGGCCAGGGAGCTGCAAAACCATTTCCCTTACAAAGGCTCTAAAAACCACAATTGCAAATACAATCAGTGCATATCAGCAGCACTCATCTACATGCACAGAAAATGCAAAAAAATAAAGTACGACGACTTGAGTAACAAAACATTTCTGAAAATGCTTCTGGGACTTTTAGTACAGTTGTTAAAATAATCAATATAATCTGTTTTAACAAAAAGAATTTTATTAGGGTCAAAGTCAATACGAATGGACTGACTTTTATTTCCTCAAGTTGTCACACAGTTTTATAATCAGCACTGAAGTAACAGAGATATCCTGCCTCTTCTCTCAGCAGACATGGCTCACTATCACAACAACTGTGTTTCCATTGAATTGGGCAGTTTGACCTTTCGAATATAAATTTGCTTAATGGAAACATGCCAATTCTGAAAAAACTCATATTTTTTGATAAAATGTGGAACGAGATTGAAGTTGTTTTTTTTTTTTTTTTTTTTTTTTTTTGTTGCCAATGGAGCAAAACGCGAAGAAGACGACAGAACGTTGTTGGAGGATGACGGCGCAGCATGGTTTTTAATGATTTATCCCCTGAACAAACTTATTTATGAGATTTTAATTGTACTTTTATTTAATAGAAATACTGCAATTGCAAAATTGTGTTCTTTCGACGTTAGTGGAATATTAACAAATTTTGCGCACATTTGCATTGGAAACTTGTCTTGTCAGCTACTCCGGAAAGATTAAAATTTTGTTTCATTTGTTTGAAGACTGAAAACTATTACTAAAGCTAACTCTTGTGTTCTATTTCAAATTATTTGTGAACCTTGCGTTGACAGTCCAACCTTTATCTCTTAGTAACTTTCCTCAACCATCATTTAGTTGTCAAAAGATAAACACTTTCACTTTACGTCTAAATGCAACTTCCCATCTTGTGTCTGTGTGTGCTATTTTTTAGTATGGATATCCAGTTTCCAGTAACCTGGCAAATGGAACATGTTTTCATGCCGTGCAGCTAGAGATATCTTGTTGTATAGCCGTGACAGCCAGCGCTAGCCCGCTGATTGAATGTTTGCCTCACTACCTTGAGAATATTGTTAAGGATGCACGTCTGAGAAGAAATGCCTCAGCATAAACTTTCAA